TCTAAGGGACTCTCAAGGGTCTTCTCCAACACCACAGTTGGATATCCTTGCAGTCTGAGGGACTCTCAAGAGTCTTCTCCAACACCACAGTCCAAAAGCATCAGTTCTTCGGCACTCAGCTTTCTTTATACTTCAACTCTCACATCCATACATGACTACTGGAAAAACCATAGCCTTGACTAGATGGACCTTTGTTGGCAAAGTAATGTCTCTGCTTTTTAATATGCTGTCTAGGTTGGTCATAGCTTTTCTTCCAAGGAGCAAGTGTCTTTTAATTTCATGGGAAGTGTACCCCTCTGTTGGAGATTCACAATACACCATATACAAAGGCTCTGAAAATTCCTGCACAGAAGATGCTTATTTCTTCAACCCAGGCTTTAACAAACTAATTTGAGCACAGGACAGTTTTTTTTTAAGTTTATCTATTAAAACATCTTACAGGATATCTTTGAAGAGATATCAGCTTTAGAAATGCCATTTTAGGCACGAAGATGTTTCTTATAAATTATATATAACAGAAAAGATTAGGAAACAACCTAAACAATAGTGGAATGTGTAGGTAAATTATAGTGGAACAGAACATATGCAGTCACAAACTGCTGTGTACAGAGTTTTTATAAAGGCATTCATTTTCATGTTAAAAGAAAAATCAGGATTAAAAATAAACTATGTGTTCAAAAAGACCCTGATGCTTGGAGGGATTGGGGGCAGGAGGAGGAGGGGACAACAGAGGATGAGATGGTTGCATGGCATCACCGACTCGATGGACATGAGTTTGAGTAAATTCTGGGAGTTGGTGACGGACAGGGAGGCCTGGCGTGCTGCAATTCATGGGGTCACAAAGAGTCGGACACGACTGAGCAACTGAACTGAACTGAACTGAATGTGTTCACATATATATTAAAAACAGAAAATGATTGGGAGTAAGTTCACCAAGATTCAAATAATCATTTTGAATGGTGGTTGTTTTGTTCATTTGTTTTTCTTTTCTTCTTTCTGTTCCTATAAGTATGGATTGCCTCCATATTTGGGGGAGAATGGTAACACCAAAGGGGCTTCTCAGATGATACTAGTGGAAAAGAAAGGGCCTGCAAATGCGGGAGATGCAGGTTTGATTCCTGGGTCAAGAAGATCCCTTAGAGGAGGGCATCGCAACCCACTTAGTATTCTTGCCTGGAAAGTCCAATGGACAAAGGAGCCTGGCAGCCTATAGTCCATAGGGTCGCACAGAGTTGGACATGACTGAACTGGCTTAGTATGCACAGATGCACAGTAATACCGAAATAATAGAAGCCTCCAATTTTTACCTGAAGGGAAAGGGAGGGTCAGACTTGTTGGCAGAGGAAGGAAGGTCAGAGAAGGTGCTGGGTGCCAGGGTCTCTGCCTGATGCTTTTTCTCTCCTCCTGCCTGTGGGAGGGCTTCCTAGGGCTGGCCATGTCCCTGGTGTGGATTTAAGTGTGAGCAGCCCCTCCTAGATGGCGACGCCAGGCTCTAACTTAGCAAACAGGTCGCTGAGCACGTATGTGTTCCACCCCCATCCTCACTCTCTTTCCACCCCATTTTTGTACTGACTGTATGGGACTCCCTTTCCCACTTGGCCACAGCCTCCCCGAGGCTAAGGACAGTGTGTGATGGACCTCTGAGTCCTTCTGGCAATTAGCACCGGGCGCTATGAAGGACACACAGGGGCACTTGTTTGTTCATATTCTAAAATAAGTGGCATCGTTCTCCTTAGACCCCACACCCCCAAGTCAACCCTGCTCAGCAGGGTCGAGAAGGAAGCAGAAGGACTCTATGGCTCCAGGAGGAACAAGTATTAGAGGCGCCAGGAGCTCGTGGGGTCACTGAGGCCACTGCAGACTCTCTCCCTCCAAATCCAGCTTCTCCATTCTTGGACCCTTGAAGTAGACGCTTTCTAATCTACATTATGAGCTTCCCTGCTGGCTCAGTCAGTAAAGAATCTGCCTGCAATGGGGAAGACCTGGTTTAATCCCTGGATTGGGAAGATCCCCTGGAGGAGGGCATGGCAACCCACTCCTGTATTCTTGCCTGGAGAATCCCCAGGGACAGAGGAGCCTGGTGGGCTACAGTCCATGGGGTCAGAGTAAGACATGACTGAGCGACTAAGCACACACTTTACATTATGGAATTTTAATTGATTACCCACAAGTATTACCCAGTCTCAGAGTAACAGTGAAAGTCTGTATACTGGACAATCACTCAATAATGGACTTTTTTCATTACAGAAAGAATGGGAGTATCTAGTAACAGCTCCAACTCTTGATATGTTCACTAACGGGATTCTGCTGCTGACTAATTCCATGAAGGTTTACATAATTCTTGACCTCTTCTAGCACAGAACGTTTCACTATGTGACTTTTGAAGGCCAAAGACACAGAATCCCCTGTGAGGCCTGAGTTCACACCAAGATCGAGAGATAATTTTTCAAGGAGCAATTTCTTTCCTGTTTTTAAAATTCACACGTGCAATCCGGAATCTATTCAAGCACTACCTCACTCTGTATTATTTTTTAACTTTGTTTATTTATTTATTTTTGGCTGCACTGGATCTTCGTTGCTGTGGACGCTTCTATCTCATTTCAGCGAGTGGAGCCTGCTCTCCAGTTGATGGGAGAGCTTCTTGCCGTGGCTTCTCCTGCTGCAGGGCAGGGCTGTAGGCACGTGGGCTTCAGCATCGTGGCACGTGAGCTCAGCAGTTGCGGTTCCCGAGCTCCAGAGTGCCAGCTCAGTAGATGTGAGCTCAGTAGATGTGCAGCTTAGCTGCACGTGAGATCTTCCCGGCCCAGGGATTGAGCCCGTGTCTCCTGCATTGGCAGGCAGATTCTTCACCACTAAGCCAGCAAGGAAGCCCTCTGTATTATTTTTTACTTTCTGTGTCAGATTAAGACAAAACCCAGTTTTCCTAAGATTTTGACAAAGTTTTGACAAACGACAGCTTAATCCCAAGAACAGCGTGATCACAGTGACTTTCACAGACTGAGCTCTTCCTTGGGACACACACCAGGTGAGTGCTCCCACCTTTCATCCGCAGGTGGTGGGTTCTGCTATTGCGGGTGAGCAGACCAAGGCTCAGGGGGGTTAAGTCACTACGTGATACGGGCACAGCTCGTGAGTATGCACTAGATCAGAGGTCTTCAGGCACCCGTCTGACTTCTCCAAAACCAGACCGTTTTTTCTAACTGTTCCGTGGGAAAAGTGGAATTAGCATATGAAATAGACAATACTTTCACAGTGTGGTAGTAAGAGGAGGAAAACTTCAACTGCCTACACCCTGAGTAGCACCAGGCATAGTTCTAAGCATCTAAGGCAGAGATGAATTCATTATGTTTGCAAAAAAAAAAAAAAACCCACGGGGGCAGTGGTGGGGACCATGAACGCCTCTGGCTTAGAGGTAAGGCAGCAAGAGGTCAGACAACTTGCCCAAGGCCATGCCTCTAGCGGGAGCAGGGCAGGGCTGGGGTCCCGGGAGTCTGGCTCCAGATCTGGGGAAGAAGCGCTCCTTTCCTCTGCATGAGAGCAACAGGAGCCCTGGGACCCTCTTTCTTGGCTGTTGGTCGTCTTCATTAAAGCTGATTAATCCAACACTTGCTCTGCCATCCTCAGCTTGAAGAAATTTTTGGATTACCATTGGAAATTGGCAAGACATATCTGTTCTGGCCTCCTTTCTATTGAACATGTATCTTCAATCACCCTTTGGGGGGAGGAAGCAGTGGGATGAATCTGGCTCTTAACTCAGTATTTGTCAAATCTGCATGTCATTTTGGTATAAACGGGGCTTTGGGCTGACTTCTCGATTTAATCAGACATCTATATCCGTGTGTGTGTGTCTGTGTGTACAAAGACTTCTCTTCAGATTTCTTTGAATCCAGGAAATAATAAGATGCTAGGGAGGGAAAGGAAAGTTCTCTACTTCAGAACTTCACATTCTGGGGCACCAGCTGTCTTAGAACCACATTAGTGACTCTTGTGAAGTGCTGTTTTCCCAAGAGACCACTATCATCAGAAGAGCACCTCAAGTTAACATTTTCCAAGAGCATCCCATCCTCTTTGTATTTATTATTTGGCTTCAATTACCTCAGTCAATAAAATTACCATTGTTGGTTCGCACCTTTCAGAAAATTTGTGTGCATTAAACACTTTGGCAATATTTATTTATTCTGCCATCTGTCTCACTATCTACACATTCTCAACAGTCTGGCCTAGAAAGCGCCCAAAACCACCTGAGCATCATAAAATTAGCGCATGGCTGTCAGAGCAACGCGTGGAGAGCACCGCTGCTGTCCTGCTGCCTGATTTAATGAGGTTCCGAAAGCATGTGGACAAGGATGCTTTCCCTTGGTTACCATGGAAACAGGACAGGCGCTCAGAGCAAGTGTCAGCAGCATCGAAATCAAGATGAATCAGCTGATGGCTCGTCATCTGGGGGAGGCGGTGACCATGCCAGGGTGGCTCCAGTGTGCAAGTAATCTCGCCCTCCTGTTCCTTCCTTCAGACGAACTCCGAGACAGAGATCCAAACTCCACCCCGATGTTTTCCTGAGCATACCGTGTTGCCATATAAGCTTAGTGAGTCTGAAGGGACTTACACTTTGAGAATTACAAAATTAGAAATGCTTAGAGTACTTCTGTTCTTTCAGATCCTAATTAATTGGCGATCTGTTGTTTTATCTGAGAGGAAATAAACAATTACACAATCCACTCCCACACTTCCTTTCCTCCAGCACGGGTTTATTTTATTCAAAGTCAAACTCACCTCAGGAGGAAACTTTTTATTTTAATGAAGAGAATAGGATAGCCAGAGCTTCTATTCCTAGGGTCTAAGCCTTTTCACACAAAGTCGATTTTCATCCTAAATTATGTTGTCACTGGGGAAGCAGCAGAATTTATAAATTTTAGTGTTAGCTCCATGAGTCACTAAAGTTTCTAAAGTATTCTTGAATCACTTGTAAAGAACAGAAAATAGAATATAAAATAATTCTCTACAATTCATTCTATATTTATGGAATAGTTTTCAGGTGAGAAGTTATGAACGAAGAACACAGATGAGCTGAAACATTGCTGGAGAACTAAGAAAAGGCTTGAACACCATTCTTCAGAAAGTTCCAATTTGGCAGCAGAAACTTGAAGCAGAACAACGTTTGGTAAATATAGATCTCTGCCGACTTTTGCAAAGAGGAGGAATCTTTAACTTCTTGGTTTCATCTTCTTAAGATTTTTCTTCCTCTGTACAGGGTCAAATAGAATTCATTAGCCAATTAGCTCAGAGAAAATAAGGCAGCGTATATGCTATTTCATGTAGAAAAAGAGCAAAGTGTTCAATTTTTCTGCTTTTCGGCTGAACTGACAGATATTCTTTGTTCTCTAGGAATGTGATGATTTAGGCTAAAATTCTGCTTCCTGAATAATTCAGATAATTGCCTCAACCCCACACTTTGCTGGAGTTGGAGAGACTTGACTTCAAAAGGCAGGTGATCAAATTAAAATCACGTTTTGATGAACCTTATTTTAAGCTGTTTTTGAAAGAAAAAAAGATATTCACTGCTTAATTAAACATCTCTATGTATTTTGAAAACACAGATGAACCACGCTAAATGTTATTAGTCTAATGTTAAGTGGTGAGCAGTAAAAATTTTCTTTTGAAAAGGGTATGCTTGATATGTTGGACTTTGTTCCATAAGAATCGTCTAATCAGACATTTATTGTCAAGCAGATGTTAGAGTTTAGATGTTCCAGGAGACAACGCTTTCATCCCGAACCTCAGCAGCTGTTTGCGCAAAGCGACGCTTGTTATGTGGCTCTGTGGCTGCCGGTCTATGTCATGCTGTTCTGTGCCACTGTCCTGAAGAGTTAGAGGGCTGGTTATACCAAGCATTTCTTGGGTCATTGACATAAGAGCATCTAATGTGCACCTGAAAAGAAATTTAAAAGAGTTCATTTAAAGAAACGGTACTGCTGTCAAACTTGCCTCCTGTGGTACTAGAAGAGCTTCATCTTGGTATTATGATGCAATTGCTTACTTACTTTGTGGACATCTTCCCATGCCCTAGGGTAATGCTCCTAACTTAGACTGGTGATGTGAGCACAGAAGTCTTTGCCTGGTGGGTCCATGATTCAACCTGCATCATCTGCACACCTCACCCCAAGTGCCCCAGGCTTGCTGCCTGGGGAGGACACGTACCCCTGCAGGGACAGGACAGGACGAAGCCCGAGAGGGAGAAAGAAAGGCACGGGCGTCCGTGGTGCCTGCCGCACAGGCCCCACCTTGGACGAACCCACCTCCACACCAGCTCCCGGGTGGGCTGCTCACTGCTGCTGTCCCACCCTGAGCAAGGTGGAGCCTGGACCTGGTGGCACCAAACTCAGCTGGGCTTTGACGCTGACCTTTTGGGGGGCAGCTCCCCCCGCAATGCTCAGTTAAGACCACTTTGCATCTTAACCCCCTCTTCAAATGTCTGCACGATTCCCCCAGGGTGGCCCCTCCTCTCTGCAGGTGATCTTGCCCCCCGGTTGGACAGAGAAAACAGAAGCCCTCAAACCAGCCTGACCTCGTCCATCCTCTCCTCATTTTCACCTGTTTCAATAATAATACCAACAACAGATAATGCTTATGGGCTGCTCACCATGAAGTCTCTCCATGTGTTACTTTACTGAACCCTCATGATAACCTGATGATGAAGGCACCAGAACCACTCCCACATCACAGGCAAAGAGCCTGAGGGACACAGAGGGTGAGACGCTTGCCCAAGGCCACACACACGGTGTGCGGCAGCATGTGACCACGAAGCTCAGGTGCAGAGTTGGCGCTTCATCTCAGGCCCTGGATCCTATCCCATCCCCGCTTCCGAGGGACTCACTCCAAGGGCTGTTTCTGCCTCCTTCTGGGTCATCGGCCTCTCCCTTCCTACTGGCCCCTTCCTTGAGTCTTGCTCGAGTCTTCTACCCATCAACTCATTGTTTAAAAATCCTGGATCCCTCCTCTGTCTATTGTCTTCTCTTCCCTTTCCTTCCCTCCCCTTCTCTCTCTCTCTCTCTCTCTCTCATTTTCCCCTCTTCCAAACCAGCCTTCGTACAAAAGTCACGAGCACTCACGGGGCCCACTTCCCCACCTCCACTGATTAAGCCCAAGGCAAACTGGCAAGTGCTCCCATCACCCTATAGAAATGGTAACCAACAAGGACCGACTACACAGCACAGGGAACTATACTCAGTATTTTGCAGTTACTATAAGGGGAAAGTGAACTTCCCTGGTAGCTCAGCAGTAAAGAATCTGCCTGCAATGCAGGAGACACAGGAGACACGGGTTTGATCCCTGGGTCTGGCAGATCCCCTGGAGGAGGGCATGGCAACCTGCTCCAGTATTCTTGCCTGGGAAATCCCATGGACAGAGGAGCCTGGTGGGTCGCAAAGTGTAGGACATGACTGAAGTGACTTAGCACTCATGTTTAAGGGAAAATAATCTGAAAAAATAGATAATATATGTATGTATAACTGAATCACTTTGCTGAACACCTGAAACTAACACAAAATTGTAAGTGAACTAGACTTCAATTTAAAAAAAATGTTCCTTAGGTTGCCAGTGACCTCCAGTGTGCTGTTTCAGTCCTTTCCTTGACACATAGTTGGTATTAAGTGTTTGTATGGGCTTCCCAGGTGGTGCTAATTGTAACAGAATACACCTGCAATGCCGGAGACGCAGAAGATGTGGATTCAATCCCTAGGTTGGGAAGATCCCCTGGAGAAGGGTATGGCAACCCACTCTATTATTCTTGCCTGGAGAATCCCATGGACAGAGGAGCCTACAGTTCATAGGGTCTCAAAGAGTCGGACACAACCCAAGTGACTTAGCATGCATGCACAAATGTTTGTATAAAATAAGTGAAGAAATGGATAAACAAGTGAATATATAAAGTCTTGTAAGAAAAACTCAGCTGACTTCTCCCTATTCTGTTCCCCATCATTCTACCCAGCTTACTTTTGCAGATCCCCTGAATTAGCACACACCCATAGCATAGCTTCTCAACCTGAGGACCTGGGACCACCTACTTGGGAATTTCGTGCCCATCCCTGTCCCCCTATCTGCTAAGATGTTCTGGGTGGGGTCCATGTGGACGCTGTGAGCACACACTGGAGGTTGCACCTAGGCACATGACAGTTGGAGGGTGGGTGATCCCTTGTCTGCCCTTCTGTCAATCTTCATGATTCAGTGCTCTCCTTATAAACAAAAGATTTAAGACTATAAGAAGGAATTATGCCTTTGGAAACATTCACAGATACAAAGGAAAAATAAGCGTTATCTCTGGCATGCAATAGTGCTCGTGGAATTTCATCAGTCCTTGCCTTTTGCTTATGACACTTACCCTTTTCATCAAGGCTGTTATTAAAGGTTGCCACAACAGAACAATAGCAGGAGCAATCCAGGCTCAGACGTTTGCTCCCATCAGCTTCCGCCTGGGAGCTGACATCTTGGAGACTGATGATCTATTTTCTCTGCTCCCACTTTTTGGAACAAGAAAGTCTTATTTAGAAGGCAGAATTGCTTCCCAGGCAAATGCAGATCAGGGCATACTTTCCCCTCATGTGAAAACGCGCAGTGTTTCGCCTTCTGTGTAATTAATCACTCTGCTCTTCCTGCTCGTATGTTAGCTTGCCATTTACGCCACACGCTGTGCGTACTTTAGCACATTTGACGACAATGCAGAGAAGTGGGCAGGGCCTTCGAGGCACCGTTCCTTCCACAGATGCCTGACAGGTGCCAGCTACGTGCCCAGCCCCAGTCTTGGTAACTTGGATGCTACTCTCAGATACCTTGCAGGCTAACGGAGGAGATATGTCATGGATGCAGCATCCGGCACAACCAAAAGGTGCCAGGGGCTTTGAAACTAGCTTGTCTGAAAAGCCCTGAATGCAAGAACTGGCTCCATCATTTGGATTTCGGTGCTGAGTACAGGTCTGGCAGGAGACAATGCTCACTAAGTAGGGTTAAATGAATAAGACAGATCAAGTAGTTTGGGAATTCAGAGTTAGGTTGGGATAGGGGAGTGGATCACGTCCTTCCTGGGGTGGGCCTGTGGATTAGGGTTCCCTGAGGAAAGGGACGTGTGGGCCTAGCAGCTCTCACAATCCCATAGGACTTCACTGGATCTCTTTGCTCAAACCTTTACAGATTAAGTGTAAATTCGTAATATCCTTGGAAACACAAGTGTCTTTCTTCAAATGTCAACCTGCATATCTTACGGCTTGTATTTGGGTGAAAGGCGTTCTCCACCCCAGTGCCCACCTGCATTCAGGAGTCTTTTGGTATTGATTTCAAAGGCTCTTCTCCTCCTTTTCTGTTTTTATTTATCTTCTCATAAGAAACTGGGAAAGCAGTCTCACTATAAACATCTTGGAAAGTAGAGAAACATTGGAAGAGTTTGAGAGGAATCACCCATAATCCTGCTAACCTAGAGGCAACTATGATTATTCTTTTTGGCACATTTCTTTACAGCATTTATGTATGTATGTATTTTTAACATTGTTAAGCACTATTAAAAACAGCTTCGAGTCCTTTCCACCATTATTAAAAACTCTTAACTTTTTAAAATACTATGGAATGTGATATGATAGTGTTTGATTATGCAATGACTTAAATTTTCTTCATGTTTGATATTTTGACTGTTAGATTTTATGTTAATATAAATAGAGCTGAAATGAAATATTTATAAAGCACTGTCCACATTTTTAGTTATTTGCTTGGAGTAGATTCCTGCATCTATTGGAATGGTGGAATCTAATGGAACCAATGGAAACAAATAAAGATCCTAATTAGGGGACTTCCTTGGTGGCCCAGTGGCTAAGACTCCAGCACGCCACAACTAAAGATCCTGCATGCTGCAGGGAAGATCAAAGATTCCGCATGCCACAACTAAGACCCAGCACAGCCTCTCTCTCTTTAAATATATATATAACATATATATATATATGTGTGTGTGTGTGTGTGTGTGTGTGACACACACACATATCTTAATTAGGTACATATTGCCAAACTGCTTTCTGGAAAGTTTTCCCTAGCATTTCCTGCTCCCATAGGGTTTAAGAGTGCTTTCAATACTCCGGTTCACTTCAGGTTTTCCCATTATATACCACTCCAGAACAAACTATTCTAAAAGTAAGCAACCTAAAGTTACAGACATTTTATTCTCTGACAATTGTGTGGGTCAAGAATCCAGGCAGGGCTCAGCCAGTTGGTTCTTCTGCTCCTCATGGTCCCCGCTGGATCACCATTTCTGAGAGGCTCTGGGAAATTTTTATGTCTAAGCGATTGTATTAGAACAGCAATAAAAAATATGTAATCTCAAAAGATAAATAAAATATTCTTAAAATGGGGAAAATAAGTCTAGTTTTTTGGACTGAGGTTTCTTGGCGGTGGTAAGGGGGCATTTGGTCTTGTCTGGAGGGTCCAAGAAGGCTTCCCAACACGGTGTGCACCCTGGCAGGGGTGGCTAGAAGGCTGGGCTCTCTCAGATCCTTCACTGTCTTCATGTGGCCTCAGGGCCTCCTCCCCAGGTCTCTCTAGCAGAGCAGTCAGACCTCTTACAGGGCAGCTCAGGGCACCACAGGTGAGCCAGGGTTCTCAGAGACAGGAAGTGGAAGCCACCAGTGTCCTAGGCACAGCATCACTTCTGTCATAGCCCGCCGTCAAAGCTGTCATAGAGCCCATCCAGGTTCAAGGACAGGGGTCTGAGACATCATTTCTCAGTGGCAGGAATGTCAAAAAATTTGTGGCCACCTCTAAATCAATGAGTCGGACATGACTTAAGGAACTTAGCATGCATGCACTAATTCACTATATCACTGAATATTATTATAAGAAATATTTATTTGCTTACTAATTTGAAAGATCAGATATGGTAAACCAGTGTTTCTCTCA